TAAAGAAACTTTTGATACCTGAAAACACCTATAACTTTGTCAAATCTGCATCAAAACACTCGATTTTAAGTGCATTAGAAAGCTGAACTCTTTCTCTCGAACTTTCATAAGATCAAGAACTATGTAGCTAGTATGCCAATCATTCTATGGATCTGTATGTACAAAGGTATAAAAAAGGTGATATCTTTTTTAGCAGACCAGCATGCTGTGTGGTCCTATTATGAGCTATTTGGAGGACAATTCCAGCTTACCAATGCACCCAAAATCGAGCGAAATTTCAGTGCTTGTTACCGGTTGTGATTGGATGATTGTGGAGGTTTATTGTTAGTACACTTATCAATATGGACTGTAAAAATACGGAAAAATATGCACAGTGAAGTTCTCAACGCGGGGAACAAGATGCATTTTTTTTTCTTTTTTTGCTCTCCTCCTGGCCTCTCAATATTTTTGTGTATCAATAATTTAATTTTCTGCCCAGAAAATATTATCTTTCTTGTAGTGTTAGATAGAGTCATTTTGAGACATGAAGGCCAAACTGATCCGAGATCTTGCTTTGTAACTCGTCTAGGTACAGAGTTGGATCCAGTCAAAGAGCCTCGGGAACAAATTCCTTCTCAGCTTGACCTAGAGTGTTTGGCGGCCCTTGGTCCATGTGATCGCCGGAGTTGGTGACCACGGCTTGAGTTCTTAGGTATAGATCATACCACCGCCTGACCAAAGTAAGTGAGAGTTCCATTCCAAGGCTAGTGACAATGTCACAAAAGCGCATCCCACGTAAAATCATCCGGACAACCACGAGCTTTAGATCAGAACTATAGAGCTTAGTTGGCATCTATCAATCAGTTGACGGGAACGAACAGAAGCAGGGTGTCAGTGACTGCTTTTGAACACCGTTCGAAATCATAAACTTTGCCTGCGTGAACACACCTTTGCTATATGTCAGAATTTAGTTGATTGAGGCAAAGACCTTGAATCATGAGTAGTCCAGAACTATTCCGCTCTATAGAATACACCAATCAACGGATATTAGCGGAAAAAATTGGAAACAGGATTTAGAGCAAAACCAATTCTCACCAAGTTTACTCGCCAAGTAAACTTGGTGAGGATGAGGAGAAGTGGGATAGATCCGAGAATAGTAGGAGGAAACGAAAAGAAGGGATGGATCCGAGAAAATGGGAGGAAACGACAAGGAGGGGAGAAATTGAAAGGGAAGGGAGGAAATGAAAAGAAGGGGAGGAAAAGGAGGACTCGGACAGACCCTATTGAGACAAAGTTCAAAGGAAAGTCTGTCTACTGTCAGGTGATATTCCTTGCCAAGCCTTTTTGACGGATATGGAAGTTCTCCCTATGTACAAGAAGAGAGAGACCCTCATGGTCTCTCAGGACATTTTCACTGCCAGCATAGATGCCTCGGGTTGAGGAATCTGAGGCATCATCGGAGGCAAATCCTGGGACAGACCTTGTCCGAGGTTTTCACCAGAGGTATTTTTTTGCCCTGGAAATAACCTCAGATCAAAACCTCGGGAAGCTTCTGTCCGAGGTTTTGCATCCGAGGATACCTCGGATTACAAAATTCAAGGTAAATATGTTGGCGGTGTTTATTTTTTTGGGGGGGCAAAACTCGGTTTTATCTGGTTTTTAGTTAAAACCCGGCGCAACACATTTTGTTGAAACTGCCGATGATTATTTTAGTAGCTGTAACACCTTACATATATTGGTAACAATTAATTGTTAGTGACCATACTTTTATTGAGATGTAGCATGTGAATACTGAGTGTTACGTACCTTGTACTCTACACTGTGAGGTGTAGAGTCCAACCCCCGAATGCTACAGACTTGTAACAGATCTGGTGTGATTTACTTGGCTTTACCCTTTCAGGTTCACTCCCATATAGGTAGTCAGGAACCTGATCTGCCTTTATTTTTGACCCAAAGTGGGACATCAGGGGTAATTATTGAAATTTCATCCAGACTGGGCATTTTG